GTTATTACTAAAAGCTGACAGAAAGCGATGGGAAAAAGAAAATGGTGGTGGAATGGGAAGGCAATTGGTTTCAAGTACGAGGACTGCCACCAACCTAGTCTCTGTTCCCTTGGTTTAGTTAAGAGATCTCTGAAAATATTCCAGCCAAATTTATTTATGTTACAGCTCTAAGACTCTTGAGAATATCTTTCTAAGCCTTTTGTTAGTTCTGAAAATCAGTTCCGGCTAATGACACACTAATGTTTCCTTCTGTTCTTAAGTTTAAAGTTAGCAGCAGCAGTAGCTTGCTCTATGTCCCAGACAACCTCTGCCACACTAGGGCTTCACAGCTTGTCAAACACAGAGTTGTTAATTTTCTAAATTTTTACCCCAAAACTGGAAGAAAATTAAAAGATTATGAAGGAAATTGTGTTAGTTTGTTCTTGCATTGCTATAAAGGAATACTTGGGGCTGGGTAATTTATGAAGAGAGGAAGTTTTATTTTGGCTCATGGTTCTGCCGACTGTACAGGAAGCATGGTGCCAGCATCTGCTCCTGGTAAGGGACTCAAGAAGTTTACAGTTACGGCAGAAGGTGAAGGGGGAGCCAGTGCAACACACGGTGAGAGAGGGACAGAGAGCAGGGAGAGGAGCCAGACTCCTTTAAACAACCAGCTCTCACATGAATTAACAGAGCAAGAACTCACTTATTACCGCAGGGAGGGTACTACACCATTCATAAGGGATCCACTCCTCTGACCCAAACACCTCCCACTGGGCCACGTGTCCAACACTGGGAATTACATTTCACCATGAGATTTGGAGGGAACAAATATCCAAATCATATCAGATACCAACTTCATAATGTTTGTATTTTATCAGTATGCTAAGGAGAAAGATTAAAGATAAATTAGCAGTAGAACACAGGTTTTGTGTGTTTGGGTATTTTTTTTTTATTAGACTTCCTGTGTTCAAGTCCAAGATCTACTACTTAAAATATGTAGCCTTGAATTATTTATTTTCAGTAAACTTCAGTCTCTTCATTTATAAAATGGTAATTATAATGATAATGATGGCTGTCTCAACTTTGCTTTTTTACCTGGAGTAAAACTCAGCACATAGTAACACATTCCCTGTAGGGAATTAAACTTTTAACAGTGCATCTCTTTCCTGAAGACCTTCCCTAATTAATCAGAAATACAGATGTACACCTGTGTCTGTATATTTCACGTGGATTAAAAACATGTTTATAATAACTTTTGAAGTTTGACTCCTTCATACACATTAATGAAAATTAGAGAAAAACTTACTTTGAAGACAAAATGTTAATATCTAAGGTGGCAGTATTCCTCTTAGAATGTGTTTTCTGTTGAACACTGGAGGCTGTTTTATATTAAAAAGAAAGCACATCTACATTCTCAAGATTTACTACAAAGTTGAAAACTAAAAAATATTTGATTGTCAAAAGTTCCATTAACTATCAAAACTAGAATATTTATTTATTTATTTTTATTTCAATAGCTTTGGGGGTATAGGTGGTTTTTGATTGCATGTGTGAATTGTATTGTGGTGAAGTCTAAAATTTTAGTGCACCTGTCACCTGACTAGTATACATTGTACCTAATATGTAGTTTTTTATTCCTCACCTCCCTCTCACCCTACCCTCTATCCCCCTCTAATGTCCAACATAACACTCTATATGCTTTTTTGTATCCATAGCTTCGCTCCCCCTTATAAATGAGAACATGTAGTATTTGGTTTTCCATTCCTGAGTTGCTTCCTTTAGAATAATGGCTTCCAGTTCCACCCAAATTGATGCAAAAGATATTATTTTGTTCTTTTCTATGGCCAATTAATATTCCATGGTATATGTATACTACATTTTCTTTATCCACTCATCAGTTGATGGGCACTCAGATTGATTCCATATCTCTGCAATTGTGAATTGTGCTGCAATAAACATATGCATGCAGGTATCTCTTTGATATACCTTATTTTCTTCTGGATAGATATCCACTAGTGAGATTGCTGGATCAAATGCCAGATCTACTTTCTGTTCTTTCCATATTGATTTCCACGCTGTTTTCCATAGAGGCTATACTACTTTAAATTCCCAACAGCAACATACAGGCATTCCCTTTTCACTACATCCACACCAACATCTATTGTGTTTTGACTTTTTAATAATGGCCATTCTGCCTAGGGTAAGGTGATATCTCATTGTGGTTTTAATTTGCATTTCCCTGAGGATTAGTGATGTTGAACATTTTTTTCATGCCTGTTGGCCATTTGTATATCTTCTTTTGAGAGCTGTGTCTATTTATGTAATTTGCCTGCATTTTACTGGGCTTATTTGTTTTTTTCTTGCTGGTTGGTTTGAGTTCCTTGTAGATTCAAAGGATACTAATCCTTTTGTTGGATGCAGAGTTCACAAATATTTCCTCTCATTCTGTAGTCTGTTTACTTTAATAATTATTTGACTGTTCAGAAGCGTTTCAGCTAAATTAAGTCCCATTTATTTTTGTTTTTGTAAAACTAGAATATTTACAAGAATTTGTTTTATGAAAAAATATCAAGTTTAGTTTTTAACCACCTGAGTTAACAGGCAGAAATTCTGGAAGTTAACTTTATGTTTCAGTACTTGGGAAAAACAAATATTTGCTATATATACCAATAGAACTAAATGAAATTTAATTTAAAAATCAAAATATTAATTTCAGTGTTTTCCATACTTGTCTGATTTTAAGCATCACCCACCCAGAATCATTTGTGATAGTTCAGATTCCTAGGGTTTATTCTGGAACTATCAAATCAGAAACTCTAAAGAGAGTCTGAAATAAAATTCTACGTTATTCTTATGATCAGATAAGTACGTGAAGAACTAACAAAAGTATTTCTCTGAGAAGTACATCTTTTAAGATTTTTAATCATTACCAAACAACATGAACCTTCTAAGAGAGAGACTTATATTAAAAATAATGCGGCCGGGCACGATGGCTCAAGCCTGTAATCCCAGCACTTTGGGAGGCCGAGACGGGCGGATCACGAGGTCAGGAGATCGAGACCATCCTGGCTAACACGGTGAAACCCCGTATCTACTAAAAAATACAAAAAAACTAGCCAGGCGTGTTGGCGAGCGCCTGTAGTCCCAGCTACTCCGAAGGCTGAGGCAGGAGAATGGCGCAAACCCGGGAGGCGGAGCTTGCAGAGCGCTGAGATCCGGCCACTGCGGCTCCAGCCTGGGCGACAGAGCGAGACTCCGTCTCAAAAAAAAAACCAAAATAAAATAAATAAATAAAAATAAAAAATAATGCAACAGAATTTAAACAGCATAAAGTTTACATTTTATAAACAAAACCAAATTCAATTATCTTAATTTCTTTTAATCATCTCACAGTTTTCAGATCAGTAACATTTAAATTTGTGAATTTCTCAGATTCATAAGGTGTTTTGACTCTCTGAGAGTCAAAAATAGGAAGTGCAAATCATAGGTAAGGAAGTTTTGAAGTATAGCTCTATTGTTGCTGGTTTAATTTGTGAAGAGGTTTTAAATATTGATTTTTTTCTTCAACAAATGATTTAAACTATCTGCATGTTGGTACATGCCAAGCTATTGTGTGAAATTTTACCAGCTGGGAATTATCCCCTCATTCTCTGGTGTGATTAACACTTCCAGCTGTAGAATAATTAAAATGTCAATCAGTTCTGAAATAGAGCAAAACAGTTTCTCATTTGATCCGTTAGTTGGAAGGCTAAATGAAGGAGTACATCAGGTGTCTAGCTCTTCTCACAACAAGAGTTCACACCCCACCTCTCTCTGTTTTCCTCCACCTCCCCTCTTCTGCCTTCACATACACAAACACACACTGTGGACTCTGGATTTGGGTTACGTTCAAATTTGATTCTTTGATATGACCTCAATCTTACAAAATTTGTTGTGTTGCTTATCTTTAAGAAAAACTTGGGGGAATAATGAGACCAGAAGGTTAGGGGGGGGTTTTTATGTGTTTTTATATGGGTTTTCTGTATGGTATATGTTCCTGGAACCATGTAAACATACACTCCATTAGTTTTGAAACTTCTTCCTTCTTGATCTGACGGCACTGACAATGACGTGCTTCATCATCGCTCATAACCAGCACCTGAAGGAATGATAAAGCTTCTAGGCTTATAAAAAAACAAAGTGATGGGAAAAAATAGTCACAGCATGCTTAATATTCCTGAGTGTTCCAGTCTGTAGACTTCCATGAACACAGTGGCTGGAAAATACACTATGGATGCACACATTTCAATCCACACATCTCTGAAAGCCCCAGCCCCACTTCTGCTTCTTAAATACTCTTTTATAGGTCTCGATGCCTAGAGTCAGCAGCAGCAGCAGTGTGGCTTTACATTTTTCTGTTAAAGTTCTTTTTTAACTTAATTAAAGCTTTAATAGAAGTTTTATTTCCCTTAGAGAGTGACTCTGAAGTTTAAAGTGGTCTTAAAAATAAGTACCTTAAATACCTGTTCATCAAACATCCTTTTGAACTTTTTGTTTTACTCAGAAGAATATTACTAATCAGATATATGAACTCTTTTGGATGAATGTGATACTCTAGGTAATGATCCCAGAGACTTCTACAGTGGTTATTTTAGTGGTTTCTTTGAAGTCTTAAGAGGAGGTGGTAGCAATATGTAAGTGAAAGCGTGTCAAATTGGTAGAAGCTAAAAAAGGTTGGGTTTCTGAGTGATGTCCTCTCATTTGAAGAAACCTTGAGCAACTCTTTTGCCAGCACCTGCTGTGCTGCCAGGCTGAACCTCAGATAACATGGTGATGTTCCTGATTCATATGATCAAGGTCATACCACCCACAAGTATATTTCTAGGCTTAACCTTTTAAATACGTTTGTCATTTCCTTCCTTCTAAAGCAATAGTGCAGACAGTGCAATTTACTGAATGTTGAGACAGCACAAAATATTTGCTCTTTTCACTAATTTTTCTTTTCTCTCTCTTTTCAACACACTAAACCTTTTCCAAAGGTTCCAGAGGAGGAGTCAAAGCGGCTGTAATCTTGATTCAGTTTTATGGACAATAGAATTATTTTACTGATTCCTGGAATCATGGCTCCTATGCATGTAAGTAAGATAATCCTTTTCTCCAATCAATATGTATTCACTGAGAGGCTGAGATTACATCAGCAAGGGCTAGTCCGCTGACGCCTAAATATTCATACTTAGAAAGGAAATTTGGAATCCAGTAAGAGAGACGAGACTATGGTTCAATTAAAGAAAATGCCTTTGAAAAGGATGATGAAATTCCTTCAAGTACAAGGTATGCTCTTTGAGTTGTTATAAACCTGTTATTGTTGGAATTTCACTCTGGGTAGCAGATATTTTAATGTCGATGAATCCCAAATGCAATTCTCTGGGCTATTTTTGAAGACTCTGGAACATTAGAAAGCAAAAAATATAAAGTTACCCAAAAAGTCAGCATTGCATCTGAATAGGTTCAAAACAAAATCAGTCCATATCTTGATGCCGTCTGCATTCTCTGAAAACACAATAACCACAAATGGTGCCAGAGGGAAAAGAGAAAGGACTTCTGTTGACTTCAAATAAAGGCGGTATCTGACAAAAGGGGAAGCAAATGATACCTTGATACGCCATTAACAAATGCCTTGTATATCTACAGCTGCTCTCTATGAGCACTTTGGAAATTAAAGGATTGCCAGCTTTTCCACTTTGGGACAAAAAACATTTGTGCTAAACAGCCGGTAAGTAAATGCAGTAAACATATTTTTACAGTGAATAGAATTGTTTTATATTTTGGGGACTGATTGTGAATTTCTACTGCTTCTTGATTAGCAAACATTTGGCAGTTCCCGAGTCTTTAGACATTAAAATGCCAAAACAGATTTTTATTCTCAGACTGAGCTCCTATATTTTTTTCATTCCCCTAACAATTATCCTCAAAACATTTGAAAGCACTAAAATAAAACGTGTTCTGAAAACACATTCGGAAACGTTTTACCTGTGTGACTTTAATAAACATGTAAAAAAAAAAAATACTGGGTTGATATCTAACTTCCTTAGGGCAGAGATGAGAACACAGTACATACGTAATGACTGTTGAAACTGTTGGTGGGCATTTCCTAGGGCCTTGCCTTGGGACCATGGAAGGTTTTATTGCTGAACACCAAAGCTGGTAAAAACAGATGTTTGTGCAAAGTCTCTTGGGTGTATCTCTTAGTAGTAATGTTCTTGCTAATTTTAAAAATCAATAAACTTCTAATAGGTTTAAAAGTTCTCAGTAATGATTTTTATCTCTTTTTAAGAGTCATGTCCTTACACATTCTTATGTTGTTACATTGAAATTATTGGAGGATTTTTCTTTTAAATGATCATTTTAAGTATCTTACACTTTAATCTTAAAATGGATTAGGAGATGGATTGTATTTGTTTTGCATTCATTCATTGATTATAATTTTTAGTGAACTAATTATATAGAAATGAATGTTTTAATCTGCCAACTTTATATAAAACTTGAAAATTCAGAAAAAACAAGTAGGAAGAATGGCATAATTTTTACACTGGCTCACATCTTGGTTGCAGTGCAGGATTTTGCAGTCTTCTATGACTGAGTGTGTATATGTTGTGTATATATATTTGTGCATGTGTGTGTATGTGATTTGTATGTGTGCATAAGTGGAGGTTGTGGTTTTATCATTACAATTAAACTTTTAAATTAAAATGTAAAGGCATGTATTAGTTTTCTATTGCTTCTGTAACAAATTACTACAAATTTAATGGCTCAAAACAATACACATTATCTTATAGTCCTGGAGGTGACCAGTCTGAAATGAGTTTCACTGGGCTAAAACAAAGTGTTGATGGGATTGCATTTCTTCTAGGGGCTTTAAAAGAGAATCCTTTTTCTTTCCTTTTTCATATTCTAGGGCCACTTATTTGTATTCCTTGGTTTTTAAGGAATCTTCAAAACAAGCAACGACATCACTCTGTGACTTCTGTTTTCATCAGCACGTCTCTTTCTCAGACTCTGACTCCTCCTGCATCCCTCTGACAAGGACCCCTGTAATTACATTGGTCACATCTGGATAGAGGGCCATCATTCTGACTTCTACTGACATAAAATTCACTAAAATAAAATTCTTGCTACTCACCTCTCCCTTCAGTGAATCTTCCCATGATTTCTTATCTCCCCTGAATGCCAGTATTTTTATCCATATAGTTCGCCTGTTTGTTTAAGGAAATTATCCTTGAGTGTCCATGAAATTTATGCTGATGCAACTTGCCCAACCTTCCCCAACATGCCTACTTTATAAACTGTGGACTTTTCCTTGCCCTCTTCCCCTGTGTGAGGTGGAAGCATTACTTCTAGAACAAACATCTTCCACCTGAATCTTTTTTTCTAATGGTGCTTCAATTCCCTGAAATGGAAGCACAACTTTCTCCCAGAGGTTTCATTTCTATAAGATGACATTCCACTCGAAGTAAATTATTTTCTACTTCTCCAAGTCAAGGTGCTGTAAGGAGATGCCTCATCCTTATTCCTTGATGCCTCTTCCACACCATTATTCTACAACCACCATCTAACAATCCCTCCTCCCCTGAAGTTGATGATATCTGGTGGTTGCTTTTTTTCCCCATTTTTGGCGTCATATGCTAGCTTCAAGTTCTCCTTATATTCTTCATTTAATGTATTATTTTATTTTTATGATTTGCAGGGATTATTCCTTAGACACTTTTTGTGCATACTGCTATCATCTACCAAACTAGCTTCAACTTCAGCAGCAATGGCCTCCTTTATCATCTTCCCATATTGTCCCTTACATACAGAAATATTTTTGAACCTTGAAATTACTTGGAAATGATGAGATGGAAAATGAACTCTAAAGTTATGCTTTGTGACTCTACCCTTCTTCCCTTCCAACTGTTCCCTTTCCCTTTATTCTTTCCTGACCTCATTTTTCAATTTCACCTAATTCCCTGTCTCTAAACCTCTCTATTCCCTCCATCTTTTAACTTCTCCTGTAAGTCCTTATTTATATTCTGGAGCAGTGTTTCTGAAACTATCTGTGAGGTGAAGGACGAGTTTTTATTTCCCAACCCACTGTCAACTGATATTTTATTAAAATATAATAATCATGAATGTTACTTGAGAATTGAAAATAATAGACAAGTACATACAAAATGCAAACAATTTTTACTTTAAGAGTCAATAGATGTAAAATTTCAGTTACTATGATCAAAGCAAATAGAGTAGAATAAAATAATTATAAAAATCACACATAACACATTGAAAATGTGCTTGTAAATGACTAATATAGCCATTTTACTCATATTTATATGATATTCTTCAATCATAACCAACTGGAATTTCATTGATATTGCACTGAATTTATAGATTAAGTTGGTAAAAACTGATATATTGACAATACTGAGTTTTCCTATCTGTGAACATGGAATATCTCTCCACTTATTTAGCTCTTCCTTGATTTATTTTATCAAAGTTTGTAGTTTTTCTCACATATTTTTTGTTTATATTATGTTAGATTTATACCTAAGTATTTCATTTTTAGCATGCTAATAAAAATGGTGTTGTATTTTTATTTTTGAATTTCACTTATGCATTACTGATTTATAGGAAAGTAATTTACTTTTGTATACTAACCTTGTATTCTGCAACCTTGCTATAATCACTTACTAGTTCCAGTTTTTTGTTGTTTTGAATTTTATACATAGATCTTGTCATCTATGAACAAAAAGTTTTATGTCTATACTCCTAATCTGTATACCTTTTTAAAGAAATTTTCCTGAGAAAAGCACACATAAGTCTAAAACCCACTGGCTTGCATGCTATATATCTGCATACTTTCTTAAATTTTCTCCTATATTTAGTCATTTTTATTCAAACACAGCATGACATTTAATCTACTTTGACTCTCTAATTACTTTACTCTTTTCTTTACTGATTTCTATTCCCTGCCTCCTGCTCCCACATTTCTTTCTATTCTTTATTCTGTTCTTTAATGAGGTACTAATATGATGACTTTAATATGTACCCTCTGTGGGTAAATCAGTATATTTAATTAGGACCTCCACCTTTCGTGATATCTTATTTTCAGTTCCTCTGGGCAACTCTTCTTATGTTTTTATCATCTTAATGAAAGTATAAATATCTGTTCGCCCAAGCCTGTTTATGTTAATTTTTTGTCTTATTTCACTGATACCTCCATGTCCTCATTCAGCCAGGATAAGTATTTAGACCTGTGGGTTTTTTTTATTTTCTGTATAGGCAGAATTCTAAAATGATGCCTGTGATTCCTGCCCTGTGAGGTGCACAACTTTTTGTAATCTTCTCCTTTTTCATGCAAGTGAAACTTATAACTCACAACCAGTAGAATATGGCAAAGGTGAAGGGAAAGCTTAGATGTAACTAAGGTCTTTAGTCAGTTAATTTTTAGTTAATAAAAAGATTTTCTTGGATTGGCCTGACCTAATCATGTGAGTCATTTAAAAGAGGCTCTAAGCCTTTGCGAAAATAAGACACAGGAAATAGCAGATACTCTCTCCCTTTCTGGCTTTGGAGAAGTAAGCTGCCATGAATTTTACAGCCAAACAGAAATGAATCCTATCAACAACCTGAGGAAGCTTGGAAGTGAATACTTCCCTAGTTGAACTTCCAGATGAGAATACATCCCAATCACCATTTTGATTACAGCTTTGTGAAACCTTGAGCAGAGTACTCAATAAAGCTGTGCCCAAACTTGTGACCTACAGAAACTTTGAGATAATAAATATGTTGTTTTAAGCCACTAAATTTGTGTTAATTTGTTATGCAGCAGTAGAAAACTAGAACACTCATTTCTTCCAATTTCCACATTTGCTCTTCAACCAATTTCTGTCTGCTCTCTCTATATGATATTTCTTACTCTCCTCTTTCACCTTCTCATCACTACCACTTTGGTTTATTAATTTTATTTTCTGTTACTAAAATGGCCTTTTGAATGATCTTCTTTCCACTTCAGCTCACTCTAAGAACCACTAGAAACACTAATTATGCCATTCTAGCTGTAAGGAAAGATGGTCACCGTGGTCATAAAGTAGAGTGGTTGATCTAGTGGTCTTGGCAGAAGAGCATGATTAGATGAAATTTCCAGGGAAGAACTATTAGAACAGGTGCTGGAATGGAGATGGTAGGACTCTGAAGATAAGTTAAGGAATTGAGAAATCACTGTGACTATGTTGCATAGGCTATTCAAGTAGACGCCAAAAATAAAATATGTTGGTTATTTTAATATTACAAATATAACAAGCAGAGAACAAATGAAATTACTCATTTTATGTTATTTCTCATGCCTTCTTTCAAAAAAACTTAGTAAAAGTTCCCCTTTGGCCTTTTGAGAAGAAAGTTTTAAAAATGTGCATTTATGTAATAACTCAATATAAGTTACAAAAGTCATGTATTACAAAGTCCATGCAAAAAAAATTGTTATCACACAAAAAATTCTGTAATTATCAAGCCTTCTAACCAAAAGTGAGTCAGTTATGCTCTTTTATACAGAAGCTGCTTTCTTCTAGGAAAAAGCAAATGCCAGGGTTAATCAAACCAGCATGGAAGTTAATTAGAACCCCAAGAACAAGCAGATGGGCTTAGCACCTTGGACACGTGAATATTTTGTTTCTAAAAATGACCTCAAAAGATTGCATAACAATCAAGTCCAGCACAAGTCAGAAGTGACTAATTAACTTT